CCCTGCCCGATCAAGTTGCCCTACGTACCGCTTGAAGACCGTTTAAAAATTATAAGAAATGTCCCGAACGTACAAAAATTCGCCGCTGCCCGATCAAGTTGCCCTACTTGCCCTTGAAGACCGTTTAAAAATTATAAAAACTGCCCCAAACGTACAAAAATCTGCTCCCCTGCCCGATCAAATTGCCCTATGTGCCGCTTACCGACCGATAATAACTATTCAAAAGACAGTTTATGCCTATGTGCCGCTTGAAGACCGTATACATAAGAAATACCAACCTTACGACTCTACGGAAAGAAAACAACGAAATCAAGTATTTACAGCGTATTCTCAAATTGCCGTACATGCCACTTTTGGAATTTCAATTCTGAGAACTGCCCCAAGCGTACAAAAATCTGTTTCCCTGCCCGATGCAATTGCCCTACGTGCCGCTTACACACCGATTCCTAGTTGAAAGCACCAGCGGGACCCATTAACAAGCAAAAGCAAGGCTGTTGTTAGATAAACGTTTCCAAAAGTACCAGCGAGACCAAGTTAATCACGCACTATCTTGTCTACACGTGGAAGCAAGACGATGAACGCCCGTAAAAGGGCTCGGACCTGGGAGGAGTTGCAGGTGCGCTCCATCGCCATTTCGATTAGAGCACCGTTTTTTTCAACTGGAGCGCACTATCTCCAAACACTTCACATTTGACGCCGCTCGTAGATAGCGATGAGTACGTGCATTTTTTTGCATCCGAGAAAATTTGGCATGTTAACGTACACGCTAGTCAGAGAGTCAAAAACTATTTCGTTGCTGTTAAATGGTTTTCCTGATTCGTTGATGCTCTTCCGAAAAGGAGACTTTTCGTTTTATGGAACATCCCGCTTGCAGAGAAGCAAAGCTTGGGGCAAATATATCCACATTATACATTATATATCATCAAAGGATGTTAATGTATTATTGCAATGCATAGCTCTCACTAAAGTCAGGAGACTGACTGAAAATGAGATGGTAGTGCTGTTTCGCGGTGATAGAGAGGAAGTTGCCGAACAATGTAATCTGTCATCACATGAAGTGCTAATGGGCATCGGGTTCAATCTAATAGTTTATACAGTTTCTTTTTCTGGTTGTCTACACGGAAATGTGTTCGCATATCTTTAGATGTGATGTTAGCGTCTGGTAGGGATCGTATGCTGTTTTCTCGATTGCCTTTCTCGATGAAGCTAGGTGATTCGTTCACCATCAGCGAATTCTACTGATGAACATCAAAGGTATTGTGCAAACGATACAAAGTAAGTTGATTGATAAGTTGTGGAAGAAAATCGCACAACATAGAAGAAATTTACTTGAATCTGGTTGCACTCTGAGCAGAAATTGTGTACATAAACGAGTTCTTGGCTACTTTTGAAGCCCAAAATCATTCTGATCCTTTTTGATAACGTTGCTTTCATAGATGGCTAAGCACTACATAGCAATTTTCCCTGGATGCGTCTCGCGCACCAGTCTAGAATTGAGTACAGTGACATATTTTTGAAGAGAATCCTAGGTAACCCCTTCTTTGTAAATTGCATTAAGACTAACGCCTGTTCAAGCGTCGAATCATTGTGCAGCTACCGCTTCAAAATGAAGATTGGACAAATGACCTTCTTCAGGTCATATGTGAACTCCGAGCCAACTTTGGCGAACGATCCTAGCTGTAACAGCTCGACAAGTATAGCTCCACAAACAAAGCAGCTATACCGTCTGCGCCCCAGAGAGGTTCCCATATGAACCAGCGTGCGTACGTGGTGCGACGCTGCCTTTCGCTCTTTCTGACACCTTCCTCCTGAGATTTCAACGGAAGGCCGAGGTTAACACATTCAAAAGACTATGGGAATCTTGCTGGGGAACGAATGATACATAAGCATTCCACGAAAGCAATTCTTCAAATAAGTGTAGGGCATATCCAATGTCAGCTTGATCATGTAAGTGTGGAAACGAACAATAGAATATAACGTACATTGGAATCACTTACTTTTATGGAGTTCAAAAAGTGTTGGAGGATGATGTTGGAAGAGGAAGCAATCGTAACAAACAGTGATTAATACACTGGAACTAGTTGCGTTACACACTTCAACAACTTTCTCTAGTTTACCGGATAACATGTAGCCCATCTCTTCCTCAGTCAATCTCATGACTCGTACTAGTAGCCGTGCAACAGTCATACATCAGCAGCCTTTCATCACCGGTGACACTCCTTTTCAGATGCACAAGTATTTAGAGATAGTGCGCTCCAGTTGAAAAGAGGTGCTCTAATCGAAATGGCGATGGAGCGCACCTGCAACTCCTCCCAGGTCCGAGCTCTTTTACGGGCGTTCCAAGACGATCCTAAAGTGACTGTTCTTACAAGGGAGGTTCAATTAGTCAAAGTGACCTTTCCAGATAAGTCATATACCATTCTGAAGAGCCTTGAACGCTGATTTCGAATCTGTTTTCATTACCTGCCGAGCACCTCTGGACGCAGAGTCATGAGCGTCTTTTGGGTTGGGAAATTGAATCTTATATATAAAGCTGAATGTCTGTTTGTCTGTCTGTATGTCTGTCTTCTGTGTGTACGTATGTTCCGAATAGAAAATTCCATTTCTGAACCGATCCGGACCAAACTTGGCACACATACATTTCGGCCTCCGGCGGGTGTCATACTATTTTTCGTCATCGATCGATATCGATTTTATCGATTTTTTGCAAAATTTGAGCTACGGGGCTGGGAGTTGGCACAGGGGGGTAATAGAGCATGCTGATTACGAATATAATAATGACAGGGCCGGGCGGAGCCGGTAATTCAACTAGTGCGTAATAAAAAGAAAATTCGTCAAAATTGCTCAAATGGTCCAACTTTAATTACCAAGGCACACTCCATTCAAAGAACACCTTCTGTGCAAAACATTCATACTACATACTACTTTATTTAAGCGCTGAAAAATTCGCAACAGTTGATTTTACTTGAATTCTGCGTCCATTTTTCGCTCCAAAAAATCATTCATAACTTGGCACGCAGAGGCGCTCGGCATATATCGAGATCAGATTCGGAAGCAGCGTTTAAAGATGTTCAAAACGGTATTTGACTCATTTGGAGAAGCCACTTCGACTAATCGGAGTTAGAGCATTTTTACAAGAGTTGGTAAGATGAATTTAGCTCAAGTCACGCTGTTACGCAATTTGGCATCATTTCAAAAGCGACTGATAGGAGTACAACATATTTGAAAGACACATTCTGGGATAACAAGCTCGAAAAAAAGCAGCTACAAATAACCACCCGGACACCCGGACACTGGCGACCCAGTCTCAAAATCATTGCGACCTCATGATTGCCTTTCGAAATATGACCCTTTTACGAAAATATGCTTGGTCACTCGTTTTGAAATTTGGCAGCGTTCCAAAACGCATGCCACTTGGCAGCAATCCAACGACAAAGATCAGCGTATTTCATCATAATTTCCCTATCTGCTGCCTCCTCGTTTGCCATGTTCCACGGACCAGGGGTGTTAATGGGTAAACAACGATTCCAAATTATATTACGTAGTGAACTCTGCAAGCCAGTGAGGGCGGCCCAAGCGCCGCTCCCCTTCCTCCTTTCGCTCCCCTAACACCTTGTTCGGACGAGTTCTCTCCGCAAGACGGCGCGGGACCCCCCAACCGCTTTCCAGCATTGTGCATGCCATACAAAGCCAAAATTACAGGCAGCAGGGTCTTCGCGCCAGGGTCTCCCGACTTCCTTGAAAATTCTCGTCCGAGCTGCCTTTTTAAAATTGAAAAAACGCCCCGAAAAAGGCCTTTTCACCCCTTTCAAAGCTCAGATTCGGGATCTAAGGGTCGAGAAGGCCCAAAACATGCAAAAAGATGGAAATGCAAAATCTGCCGGGACGCTGCCTTTAAGGGAGATGAGAATGCTTGAGGGTATAAATAACTGATTCCAGAGCTATCTTCCTTAACCGCTGGTTTCGGAGAGAAACAAATGTTGACCGAGAGCATTCGAGGCTAACGTGTGCAATCCATGCTGGAGAACAATCGGCTTTTCCGCAATACCAAGTTATACTTTTCATTTCTTGTTCTTGTTTGCCTTAGAGCCGTGTAATGTTTCTATTTTCTGTTAATAGGATAAACACTGGTATCTCTTTGCGTTCTTGTCTTCCATTCGTAAAGTTGAAACCACTCATTACACTAGACATTCCCCTTCATAAGGGCCAAGCCATCGCTTATTGACAGGTTTGATGGGTATGGTGCGGAAGGCGACAATCCCCAAATTTTGTGCCCTTCAAAACTCTTCGGTGCTAAAGTGACACGGTGCCAAGGTAGGGGTGGAGGACGGGAGCAGATACGTGGCTCGATGCCACAAGTAAAATTCTGTTAGCAAGAGCAATTCTACACTGCTTGCTTTTTGCGCGCATTGTCGCTATCCGCGTGCCCCCGCCCCCAAGTTGATAGCACGCGGATTGATCGCAGCCGTCCTGCCGGCGGAAGCAACCTAGGCTACACGAGAGCCAGATATAAGAGACCATAGAGGATGTTGGCTGCACGCCAGGAGGTACGCCGCGCGCGGCGTCCGCTCTTCCGCACAGCCGCGCTCAAATCTTGGGGCCTCCAAGACTCCGCGCCAATAGAGATTCCAGCGACAAAAACAGGAGGTGAGGGTGGGGGCAGATGACTTAATGCTATAAGTAAGACTGCGCCAGAAGCACTGCTGTTGTAAGGGCTGAAGTACGCTGCGTCGTCACTTCGCGAAAAATTCGCGCCGATCGTGCCTCCTGACCCCCCCCCCCCCCGAACCAAGTCCTGCAAATCGCGCATTGAATGCTGATAAGAGCTACGAGGCAAAACATATCGCTGCCGAATACACGAACATGAAGATATCGGAAACAGGAAAGAACAGAAGAGATTTAGAAGAAGACAAAATTACATGACGAAGGAAATCACTTCATACGATCCTCTCCTCTGGTGCACAGTGAAAGTGTTCTGTGCTGCAATTTCGACTTCTTTAGTTCTGCGAAACCCACTTTATTGAACACATAGAACCGAACACAGAAAACTGCATACAGTAACATGCCAAAAAATCCAACAACACATTTCTTCACCAGCTTATAGATTGCGATATGACTTAATAGATAATTTACTCCATATTATTACGCCGCAACTGCCCTTCGCTCTCGTTGTGCTATGTTGATCTGCAACACGTCTTAACCGTGACTGCAGAACTATGCACGAAGGTATCTCACCTTATCACCAAGGGTGAGGGCCATGCCTTGACTCTTCGCTCTGATTCGGATGTGTCCTACTATAGGGGACCCTTCATCCAAAGGAGATGCTTTCTCTATCGATACATTAGCCAACGCATCTTCTCCAAATATTGAGTGTGCACATAAATTAGCAGCCAAAAATCCGCAATCACCCTCTAAATTTGGAATCTGAAGAACAAAATGAGGTGCTTTGTGTAACAAACCTATAGCGGCATCCCCAGTCAAGATCTTCATGTTAGTAACTGTCGATAGATATTGCAAAAATTCTCTCAGGTCTGTGATCGGGGTGTTTACAGTAACCTTAAAGATCGGCTTCAAAGTGAATATGAAAAGAGAAGTCGATGGCACATAAACGAAAGTTACCTTATTTTCCCACTCAAAATCAAACCACATTTGCCTAAACTCGGCGTCGCTAACGTTGCCAGGTACGATGTAATCCTTAAAAAGTTACATAAGCGCCAATATTAAGGTAGCTGACTGGCACGATGACTGGTAACTGGCGCATTTGAGTGAACTGACCATAATGTCAATTTTGATGTCTTGCAGATATACGCAGTTTCTATCAGAAGTTGAGCCACGTACATCATAAGATATGGTGGAAAAGATTACGCCATTTTCCGTAGAAGCAACTTTCACAGTAGCCTGGAAGTTGAGTGGAAAGTTGGCGAATGAAAAACCAAAGCCTTAACGTTTGCAGCTACCTTAATATTGGCGAAATCGGCTGGCGCTAGAGTAATTGGAGTGGGTTTGTCGACAAGCTTAAGGTCACCCACTGTCGACAATTCCAGCGAGACATTTTGTAGCGTATCAGCGGTTTGATTTACGATAAGGACATCCAAAACTGCAATGAAGAATGTTGCTCTAGGTCCATAAAGCATCACCAACCTACCAATATCATACTGATTGACACTAACATACGCTTCGGCATACACTGGATCCGAGAAACCTGCTAATTGAATCACTTTCCCCAGTTTTGAGCTGAAGCAGTGTTGTGTTCAAATGCGTCATTGAACGAAAAAACTTACCTCGAAAAATCGAATTTCTGTGTTTTTGGAGCGGTTCCCAGGGCTTGAGAGAGTGAAAGATCGAAAAGATTTTCTCCGATGCTGGCATCAGCTCGAGCACTTAGTTGCGTGAACATTATAGTTTTGTCGACCTGTAAATCATTATAAGCAAACAGGCACAGCGAGACCAACGGCTCAACCTCGATAATGTTCTTCTTCTTCATAGAAAACTCATCAGTCTTATCCTGGTGGCGACTAGCCAGCATCAGTTCCAAGCTATCTTTGCACTTTTCCACAAAGGCATCGTCCAAGTCGGTACAGCCCTGAGCCAAGAGCTTGATGGTCGTTCCCATTCTGAAAAAAAGATAGTCTATAAAGTTACGAACGGCCGATTTGACAAAAGAAGCACCTATCAAGATCATCTTCAGTGATATTCTGTTTAGCGAGGCCGCTTTTTCCGAGATTGATTATTGAAGCAAGAATAAACATACATTCACCACGAAAACGATTGGCACGCTGTGAGCCAGCTAAAAGGGTAAAAGATTATTGAGAACTCATGGAAAGTCAAACTTCACCTCCATTACTCTTGGTAAATTGTTCTGCAAGTTTATTGAGTACTGTAGCCAGCGAAGCTCCAAGGAAGAAATCACCATCAAGAAGAAATTGTCTGAATATTAATCCTGATACGAATTCGCAAGATACATTCGCCAGATGGTGTACAGAAAAATATTTGAAGATCAAAACAATGATCGTTACAAACCTGAGCGGTGGCTTTTCCTTATTACTTGCCTTGGTAGACACGGAAAGAGCGGACTGCGTGGCATAGGTACCATCTGCAGTCACTAACTGCTTGGAAGTTGTCTTAAAAAGATGGCTTAGGCAGAAAAGCATGTGGTAGATGTGCAACAATTGATTCGGGTCTTGAATGTTGACACGTTTCAGAATGTTGAGTAACCATTAAAGATAGCACAGGATGAGGGCGACAGATTTACAGACCGAACTTTGAAGAAATTAGGTTTTTAAAAAGGCTGCGCTAGCTGCTTAATGCCTCATGTGCTCTAAATATTTGCATGCTGCAAAGTATCAAATTCAAGTTATCCGTCAAGTCCTACCGACCTTCAGACTGAGTCGTTAAATGCACATGTTCTTATATTTTTTACAACAGATTAAGAAGTGCAAACCACAATTTCCTTGTTGTTCGCTATACCACGCTTTTTACCAGGAAAGAAAATGACTTCTTTGTGCAACCACATGAAAAAGAAAGCAAGCCGAAAAAGAAAGCTTTTTGGAAGCAGCAAATATTATCTATGTCTTCATACAATGGAAATGTCCAAAAAGTTGTGTGTGATAGTAAAGGTCTAAAAATCCGCAAAGAACCTTAGCAGTGTTGAGTTCACACATGTCCAAACGAACACAATCCTGGCTAGCCTGAAAATAGAAAATACCTTTTTCTCAGTCGCATCTTCTTGAGCAGGTTCCTCGCCCTCCATCATGCGCATCTCGCTTTCCACAAGCGGTAGTTCGCCAAGGGAATTTTTTACAAGTCGAAGCACAGAAAGTACAGCTGCATCATTCTCACAGTACGTGCCGAGGATCCAAAGCGCAGCCATGAACACTTTTGGCTTTCGAATGGAAGGAAGCCCTTCCTGAGGGAGAAAAAACTTTACCCTTGTGCTTTGAGGTAGAAAATACCACCACTATACCTGCAAGGAGTGAAGAATGGTCTCTTTTAGGTGTGGGAGCTTGTGCACAGCCTCACGAACAAACAGCAAGACGTATTGCGCAGCAACTTCATTTTCGTCAGAGAGAAATTCCATGAGTACTATAAACACCAAATATATAAATTTTCGGATTTCCTGAGCAGTTAACGAATATACAGTTTGATTTTACCTGGAACAATAGATGGAGCCACATCAGGGAACTTGATTGTCGCCGCATGAAGAGTCTTGACAAGAGCTTGACGATATCTTCCAGCTTCATCAGCTGGCTCCGAAGTAGATTTGGCGATTTCCTAAAAGTAATACTGAGCCAGTTCTGCCAAAATGGTGAGTTCGCACCTTCTTTAAGAACATGACCATATCCTCAACATTCCTGCTTGATACAAGATCCAAAGCGAGATTCAGCGTCTTTTGACGAACGTCGAGCCCGGGAGAAGATAGTACCTGGACATGAATAACGTAAGTAAATACAAACCAAAACCCATAACTCAAAATTTGGATACCAACTCTCAAAATATCCATAACCAACTCCTGGAGCACTTTTTCGTGAGATGGAGTCTGACGTAATTCCATAAGTCGATCCAACACGATGAGCTTGAAAAAAAAAATCACCTGTAAAAAGTATTGCCAGATACGACCCTGTTACCTTCACGTTGTTGTCGCTTTCCTTGACAATCAAATCGATGTAAGCTTGTGCAGCAGCTTTTATCGCAGCGGGCGCAGCAGAAAGGGTCACTAGCGTGCCTGCTGCCTCATATCTTTGAACATGTAATGTGAAACAAGTGCAGATAAATTGAAAATTGCATAGACGTACCTCACCGCAGCTGAAGAGGACTGTAGTAAATTGTAAACACAGCGGATAAAGCGAGATCTTTCGGCAGGATTTGCATGACATACCTTGATACTGGATATTACACAACCAAAACAAAGACCGTATGCATTTACTTGGAGCTGTTCTACCCCAATAATTCATATACAAACCTTATAGATCAGTTCAACAATGATAAGCTGTAGAATGTCACCAAACTGGGCGACTTGATCAATACATCCTGAACTATGAGCTAAGCTATTTTGTAAGGATAAAGATACGAAGCGTAAAGGAGTTGGTTGTGAATTACCTGACAAATAATCGAGTGCACGAGCTTGATCAACGTGAAGAAGCATCATGAACGCATTACGTTTGCAAGAAGCATCCTGTTCTCCTTCAAGAAAGTTAGAGACTAGTTCCGGAGCATCAGGGATTAAAAACTCGAAGTTCCCTGAATAACAGCAATAAGCACCGGAGCAGCTCAATGAGTGTGCTTACTGTAAATGGTGAAAATTGCACAAACAGCATTTCTTCGCACGTACGAGTGACGATGCTCCAAGCAACCAATAATCGACGGCATCAAAGGCTCTAATAGTTCGGGTTCTTTCAGCTTGCAAAGGAACCTGTGGGGAGAGTTAATCAAATCCAATCAGAAAAGCGCAACAAAAGTGGCTACTACAGGTCAGCTAGTCCAGTTCAGTCTCTACTCGCGCAATTCAGAATAGATCACAGATATGTGTGAGCGGTCGTTCTAGGATTTCATGTGTGGGCATTTTTTCAAAGCCGCTTCATGACGTTTTCAAACAAGGCACTTTCAAGCAAAAAAAAAGATGCAGACTAGAGAAAAGTTCTGCCGAAAAGAATGGGGAAGCTAATAAGCACGAAACACAATCAAACATACCAGAACCCTAAAAGCTATTGTTGCACACCTTAGTATTTTAACACTTCTCTCTACTATACCAGAACCCATTATCAAAAATGTTGGCAATATCAATAAACGCGTGCAAAATAGATACCTGAGAGTAGATCCACGTACGAATTCGTTCGGATGTTGAAGATCCTTCCTGTATGCATCGCAAACTAGGATCATTTCTTGGAGCAACTTTCCTTGAGCGTTTGTCTGCAAAACTTGGAGCTAGGGTGGAGCTTGAACGAACCATGAACGGAAGATGGATGTAGTATTATGCTGATTTGGTTTCAACAATGAAAAGTAATACCTTAGCAGATAAAGCTGCGGATCTGTAGTTATAAAGCAAAGTAGAAAACTATTACAGTAAGATTAAGCTCCTAAAAAATTGTGACATCGCTGCTATAGAGTTACGTCTCGCTATCTAGCTTAACGGAATCCATTCCTCTGGTTAAATTCTTAACAAAGTGAATTAAACGCACAAATTTTCCGTCCTTGACTAAAAGTGGATGTTTAACTATGATCACGGGAAAGATGAGATAAAACATAAAGCAGACCGATTACAAAAAGATGAAAAAGAGCTATAATTGCCTGATGCTGATAAAATTCAGGTGAAGTAGGTTCATAAATAGAGTAGCAAGTTAGCCTACTGCTGGTGTGCAATTTTTTAGCCGCGAAATCCAAAAATCTCTTCGGAATGCATTGACAGAATTTTGAACATTTTGGAGTCAGCGCTAGACCACAGATTTCTTCTAGGCTTGAACGATAAAATCAACTTACAATGTACATCATACAATCTCCTCAAATACAGGTAGTGATCAAAAGGGCACTTCTTGGCGACTTAGTTCAGTTCGAGGTATTTTCAAAGAGAGAGAACGGCCATAGGTTGTCGGTGTTGTCGGGGTCGGGGTCAGAGACAGTTTAGAGAGCGCGCGAAACGTGGAGGCTATCATGAGGTCCTACAACGACCGGCAACCTCGGCAACCTCGGCAACCCCGACAACACCGACAACACTGACAACACTGGCAACACCGACAACACCGACAACACCGACACCTATGGCCGTTCCCAGAGAGAGTTCTGTTTGAGATTTTAGGTTAAAGCCACAAGGTCCAAATACACAAAGTAGGTAACCAAAGTAGCATTAAAACGGCAAAAACGCTTATAAAACTACTTAATTTCAAAGCAGCAAGTAGTAAGACAGCCTTTTCGTGCACTTGGGAAACATAACGAGTAGTAAACAATTCTGGGTGTAGATGTCTTACATTGAGGTGCACGTCAAATTCGGCTTTATCTGATACAAAGTTCAACAGAACGCAAAGGCTAGATGCAGATTGCAGGAACAAAAAATAAAGAACGAAGGAAAATCGAGAACGCGAGATGACGCAACGAGAAAGTCGCATACCTTGGGTACAACTTCCCAGAAGATCAACAAAGTCTTCTTGAGCGTGTGATCACTCGATGGTAGTAGAAACCTGATGACGTACATGAGCATTCCCTGTCCAACCTTGTCGCCATTTTGAATCATATAAATCAGTTTTTTCAAAGCTTCAGTTTTTTCTTTGTCTGATCCTGAAATATGTATACGATAGCGCAAATGCAAAGCTAACCATTTGCTTCGCTGCACAAACCTTTCTCAAATTTTTCCTTCAGTTGTGCTTCATTTGGGAGATCGGCATCAGTGGGCACATGAATGAGCGTGTAACAAGGAAGCTCCCCCGAACTCATCTGAAATGAGATGGGCGAGGGATACGGCTAAGTCTACAGGGAGGAACCAAGCTGCAAAGCAAATCCAATAGAGATGTATACCATCCATCAGACGCATCTCTAAACTCTGATTCAAATCTGCTTTCCGTTTCTACAAAATGACTTCCTGGCTGTGAGTGTTTTACTGATTTTTGAAGCCTCGAACGGCATAAAAATCAGCGAAAAGCTGTACAAAAACGTGGCGTCTTTTCCATGCAGTTATTATGCCCAATAAATTTGATTTTCGCTTTCAGGCGCTTTTGCGTAAATTTTCGTTGCTTCGATCTCACTTGAGGCTTCACATTCGTACATTCAAGCAAATCTTGCCAGTGAGACTAGGTACCTACCCTTCCTTATTAGAAGGATGGGGTGTGACAAAAAAGCGGTATCCAGGACTGGCCACACGATGAAAACTTCCCGTTAGCAATGCAAGCAATTCCTTCGCTATAACATTAAACATGAAAGATGAAATATCAAGTCCGGTACTAGTTGGCCGGAAAGAAGCAGTTCAAAACCCTGAGGCGCGGAATTTTCCAGCTGTGAGTTCAGTGAAAAAACTCCTTTAGCTTGTTCGCACACTCCTCTCAACTGCCAAACGAAGTGGATGGGGTGAGGTTAGCCAACGAGTAAATGATCAGAACTTAACCAGCCATTCCAAACAAGCTATATATCATCAGACTCGCCTCAAAACGCTGCATTATATTTCGTATCTGCCAAGCGACTATCTGGAAGAGTTATGAACGTTCAGATGAGAAAATTGTTCAAGTTTCGACGAATATATTTCCTTGAAAAGCAGCCTGATGACGCGGATTTACAGTGGCTATGGCTATTTTAATTAAGAAGAACACATTTACCAAAAACCTAAATAGGTTTTTTCAAACCAATTCCATGGAACATGCTCCACGGAACACTTGACAAATCGCACATATAAACGCTCATAACGCCTCCCAGATAGTCCCTTGGCAGATAATAAACCGTATTGGTGATCAGCGTTCCCGAATTTTACAGCATGCTTGGCATGGCTGGGTTAGCTTCTGACCATTCCCTGCCAAGCAGGTGATGCCGTCATCCAACTTTCAGCCAACTATGGCCTGGATAGCCATGGAAACTAATGACGGAATGGAAGCTCTTTTCCACGTGATTTCGACCTGCTATCTTCATAGTTATTGCACTTGAGGGCTTCCAGGCTTATTTCAAAATGTAAGGCGTTGCAAAGAAAACTCTTTAAAAAAATACTAACAACCTAACGCTTGACTGCCTGTTTGCGATAACCAACAACAAAATTCGCTCTACTTGGTACGATGTTAGACCAGCCTATACTTACTAAGAAAACCACAAAGAGAAGAGAGAAGAGAAGAAAAAGGAAATAAACATTCCCTTAATGTCAAAGCAATTTCCGCTTACGTGGACGGTCGTCACGGTCGCATATTATCAAGGGCGCCATCTATTCCTACCGGGCTGGCTGCGCGAGCGGTTCGCGTGCGGCACCGTGATTGGCGCAGGGGCGCGCATTGTTGCATGTGCGTCACAGCATCTTCGAGAGCTGTTGATCGGGGCGCGTGCGGAAAGTTACTGGAAAGTAAGTAAAAGTTGAGAACTCACTACGGAGTGCAGTGCGGCTGTAAGTAAACATGTAAGCTATCTATTTGCCGTGGGGTGCTATGACTAACTGTGCGCAGAAGTTCTATGTTAGCAAAGTATATCGTTTTTTCTTTCTTTACGGTAATTGTTGTGGGAACTCCTTTCTCCCCGAGCTTGTCAAGTCTAGTACAACTCGATCATTCCCTTTTGATGAAGAACTCGCATTTTCGATGTTTTCCCATCACAAAGCTAAGTCTGATCTCATTGTTCTCTTGACTTAGATACATATATATATATGTACAACTCGTTGCAAACGTTATGCAATGACTTTTTCTAATCTCTGTCGCTGATATTCAAAGCTTAAACTGCGTGAGAAATACTTGAAATTGACGGTTTCCGTCAGTTGCAATAGATCCAGAACTTTGTTACTACTGGCCGCTTTTCTGATAACAAAAGGAGAAGAGTTGAGATTCTTAAAGATGGGAAGTTCATCAGATATTAACTACTTGAGTTGTAATGCGATGTGTGCAAACATTTCACTAAGTGAATGGATTGTAACTCTGGGCAAGAACGTGATATCTTCGGTGTGAAGGAGCTTATGCGAAGAACCATTAGATGACTGGTTGTTTGATGTTGGTAGGTTTTGTAGCAATGCCAATACACCTAAATTACTTTTATAATATACTTGTTTAGATATCTAGCATTAGACAGCGCATGGAGATCTTAACCCGCTCATAAGTCAAAACCTTTTACGATGTAAATGTAGAGAATTCAACAGGAGGGGAACGCCAAGTCCACGTCGCTAAGTCCAAATATAGCATGCGTATTGCGAATGGATCAAGAATGCTTTACGATCGGATGTGTAGGCAGGCACTTCTTCATCTCCTTCAACCACCATGATAAGATCGAATATGATTTTGAACATCCTCAAATCGTTGAAGTCACACAGCGTTAGGGAAAGTTAGCTTAAACTTCAAGAGATCGTGGTCGGTACAGAAAAGACATTCAAAACCTTCTTTAGTCTCTATTTACATAAAAAAAGCAATCATCAGAAAAGGAATAAGCTACTCAGGTCTTGCAGGGAGTTGTCTGATACCACCGTCATAAAGTCAAGTAGCGTACACCAATGAAACGAAACCAGTGTCTTCATCAACATTTCATTTGCTCACTCTACAATGAATAAAATGCGTCAAAGTCTTCAATGACAGTTTGATGCCATGAAGACCAAGTCCAAGAGGGAATGCGCGCTCTTACGCCAATTACGGCTACCGCACGCGAACCGCTCGCGCAGCCAGCCCGGTAGGAATAGATGGCGCCTATTATCAAGCAAATCTGTGCATGACCACCATTCGATGCCACATCAAAAATTTTTCGACTACGGCTGTGCCTGCCCTGTTTTTGAGGGGCTCGAGGCTATTCGAGATTATCTTTTCTTGATCTTTTTCGTTTTCAATAGAATATCATCATTAATCTTTGTAATAGGGGCCATTCAGTACGTTTCGCGGGTATGTTGACCTTTCTGTTGTAGGGAATAAAAGTTAGCTTGAATGGCCTCGTATATTTTGTTTTGAAGATATCCACCGGTTCCAGGTGTGTGATGTCTTCATTTCCTTGAACTCTATTGTGCACTTCTGCTGATGTTTTCTTCCGAAGTCTGCTATCCGTCAATTATCTCGATCCTTTCTATTTGAAAATTCTACCAGCTCAGCCTGATTCTTTAGGCCCGGCGATGGGCACACGCCACGACGAAGCCGCTGCAGCCGCTGCTGCTGCGCATGAAGAGAAAATGCGCAGCAGAAGAATCTTGAAAGAAGGAGAATGGGCATGCACGGACCCGAAGTGTGCTCAGGTCAATGCTGAATATAGGAACTCCTGCGAATCTTGTGGAAAATGTAAGTCGAGTCCGTTCGGTTAGGTCATACGTTCTTGACAAAAATAAAGCAAATGTATTGATTTTATTGGATGTAGAGAAATGAATCCGAAAACATCTCGGAAAAAAGTGAAATGTTTGAAAAAACTGCGGTAACAAACGGGAACGAAGGTGTTAGTATTACTTGGAGGTCTACTAACTGCGTAGAAGCTCCGATATGTTACATTTTCCTTCAACATGATCTTTAGCAAAGCCTCGATCAAAGAACCGCGTCGGGAAAGAGATTGGAAAAGAAATGGCGGACAAATCAAAAGGATTGTTTGCGGCCGAGGACTGGGTCTGTTCCAAGTAGGTCAAAGGTGCTCTTTTATTAGTTGATGATTCCGTGTTTCAAGATGTGGAAACGTGAATTGGGCTAGAAGGAAGACATGCAACGTTTGTAATGCACCCAAACTTGCGGACCTTGAGAAACGAACAGGTTCGTTTGGAGTGGCTTTTTCCTCCTATTCTATCTCCTTTCAGGTTACGGAGGTGGGTTCAATGACCGCCAGGATATTGAATATATCAAACGTGACTTGGACGATGAATTTGACGAATTTGGAAGGAAAAAGAAGAAGAAGGACGATGTGAGGATTTTTAAACATACTTGATTTAATTGTTAGTTTCATAAAGAAGAACTGGTTGTAAACTCTCATTATTTCGTAGAAAACTGTTAAGCAGAATGCTGCTCTTCCTGCCAACCGTGACATCTACGAATCTAAACTAGACTCGGCTATCGATGACGACGAAGAAGAGGAGGGCGAAATTAGCAAGTACAAATTGGGAAGTGATGGAGACGATGAGGTGGGTTAGAGGTAAGACACGATTTCTCAAGTAGTACCTGACTGCATTCATCTTTTACTTTCGTTGAATCCCTTGGTTGGTCGTTTAGGAATCAGAGGAGGATGTAGATGAAGCAGTTTTGGAGAAGTACGATCTGACAGCAGATCCTGAACTAGCAGAAATCAAAATTGAAATCAAGCGTCCTCCGCCTCATCCTGCCGATGCAGAGAGCGAGTATGTACATGTTTTAAACATTTCAAAAACTGAAGCTGCTGTGAACCATTCTCTTTTCAATATGATTCCGATTGAGTTACATCGCTGATCTACTCTGTCAGTATTTGTTGAGTCAGTCATATATCATACTAGCTGCGGTCCCCGGTCCCGTCCTGGCCAAGGGTGTAAAATGGCCCGTCTGCTTCAAGGTGTTTGCTTACCATTCCTTCACTTCCTTCAGATCATATTTTCTCTTCATCTCCTGCTTCAGCTCCAAGTCAGTTCCAGCACAAGTGTAGTAACCGTGTTGAATATGTCCCTCTTGACCGGCTCGTTTCGTGACACCGCATCCTCCTCGCCGCAGAATGTAAATGATCTTTACCGCCTCTTACTACTTGGAAAAAATGAATGATATAGCTTTCATTTTCCTAGATATTAGTAAACGAATCAGTAAGTCGATAGAAGGACCCACTGAATCGTCGCAAAAAGTAGCCTATCTTCTGCCCTGGCCTCATTTGTAGGGGAGCAAATTTCAGCCTCATCGGTTCACAAACAAAGAAGTCTATAAGCCACATACTTACATACGAACAAATTCACAGAGACTGAGTTTTATTTATATATAGATATCATACAGGGTGTCTGTAAAGTATGTATACACTGTTTGATCGTTGATATCTTTTCTCCCAAGAAGTCTTTTGCCTTCCTCTAAGCATCATTTTATAGAGGTGGATTCAACTTAGATTTACAGTATGGAGCGAATTACGGATGGTTCTTCACTACTGCAAG